AGGCGCATGATGTTGGAGAAAAGTTTGAACAAGTTAAATATAAGCCCACGGAATCCAGTAAGGTATGCGACATTTTCCAACTTAGTAACTGTTTTTAGAGCTCTGAATCAATCAGATGAAGGTTTTCAGTTGAAAATCAAGAAGAACTTCAACCTTTTCGTCTAACTTGTTTTTCGGCAATTTCGCCAGTCTAAATTCTGGAAATACCTAAAAACTCAATTTCCCTTGATTTTATGTTTTCATCAAAATTACCTCGTCCCAGTTGCTATTGTGTAATTATTACATGTAATGATTGTTGTGATGTGCTAACAGAAGTGTCGAGCCACACATAGTTCTGGGCTCATATTATCAGATGGTTGCGCAAAGTCATCTTTAACTCTACGCCTTACGCTCCGACAAACCGTGAATTTCCACTTGACAACAAAATCATCCTTTAAAGGCCCGTGTTCAAAAATATAAAATATGCAGCAAGCGCTTGCAAACAGTAGTGAGCTTAAAGTTATGTGTTGTCACTGTAACTTCGTGCCAAGGAAAGAAGCAAAAGAAACGTTTCCCATAGGAGGAACGCGCAATAAAGTATTGCTTTCCTGCGCTTTTCTCCTATGGATAATCTTCTTTATCTTTCAATATTTCGTACAGCATCATAGATCTTATTATAGCTACCGGATGCACCTGCACCATCACCTGTAACTCCCGCTGAGGTAAGTGGTGCCGATTTTAGCGGAGCTCCATCACTGAATGATTTTTCATTAGTTGTAATGTGTTTGTTTGCGTGTGCATGTTAGTTGTGTCCTTTCTATAGATAGAAGATAAAGAGCCTGATGCGAAGAACAGTTTGAGTGATACAGTGAAGGCTTACGTCCAATCAGCTCGCGATTCCTTGGATGCTGCAGCCGAACAAGCTTCGGAAGCTGTGGGTGATGTATTGTGATTTGTTTTTATGGATGTATTTGAGCACTTCACTCGTATCGCATGAAATGTTAGAGACGTTGATAGCAGCACAGGTCCTATTTGTTTAGATTAGCAAGTTTCAAGTTTAATACCGTGTGTGTGTTGTATGGCTCCAGGCCTCTAGAATTTTTTTTCGTAGAAAAAACTCTCATCTCCCTTATGTGCATCTGAAACAGGCAGGAGCAATAGGGCAGATTCGACATGGAAATACTGATTACACAGTTGTGATTGTATCTCTCTGTGAGAAATTGGCAGTACTCAGCTAAAGACAAAAAGAATTTTAATTCATTATGTCCATGGTCACTGACATTAGTCACAACAACAACTTGAATGAATCTTAACATCATTAAAATTCAAATTTGCGCATTATGAATCAAGTTGCTCGCGGACTTCGACGATAGAGCGTTAATAGGGTCTGTAGCTGAAATGGGCCAAATTTTATTCTATTTTCCAGCAAATTTTAATAATTTCAGATGCGCTCAGCAGAGCAAAGCGCGACAAAAGCATATGGACAGGCGAAAGACAAAACTGCTGAACTTTCTGCTGCCGCTTCACAAAAAGCTTCTGAAATCCACGCTGCCGCATCTGAAAAGGCCAAAGCAGCAGAGGTAAGATTTCTGGAGGAAAATCGTGTGAAGTGATAAATAAGGGATCTGCCTGTTCCAGACTACAGCGAAAGAAGCTGCATCTGCTGCTGTGCAAAAAGCACAACAGATTGAGGTAAGAAAAATGACTTTTATGTTTTTAAGGGATTTCATGTTAACACAAACTTAATTCGATCCCTTACTTCTTTGATCCAATGTTCTTCTAGAAAAGAAAAATCATGCCTTCCTATTTCCCATTTATATATATTCCTATCCCTTCAGTGTCAGTAGTTTCATTAGTTAACGTGTGCTGTAACATTTAGAAAGCGGCCGAAGAAATAGCATCAGCTGCATATTCGGATGCAAAGAATGCTGTATCCGATGCTTCACAAGCCGTACAGGAGAAGATTGAAGAGGCAAAACAGGCGGTATCTTCGGAGAACGAACAAGTTTCAGCGGTAAATTACTAACATCAGTTGTTTTCTAACTGTTCAAAGCCCTCTAATCCCGTGAATAATTTCTATGGAAAGTTTTATGTCTGTCGTAGCGCTTCACGTACATCAGTCGGCGCTTTCATGCTTTTAGAACCATATATGTTCAAGTGTTTTGTTGTGATATATACTCAATTGGGACGAGTGGGATGGTTACAGAATTTTGAATTTTGCAAACTCTTTCCTTAATAATTATCCAACTGTCCCAACTTAATTAGTTATCTTTGAAGTATTCATTTTAGGTGTACAGCCGAAGTAGCAGACACTTTTGTTTAACTAACGCTCTAATTTCTAATAATTAGGTTAAAAATATGATCAGGCAAATATGCTCGAAGGTTACAGGAGAATTGACAACCAGTAACGACCAAATCATAAAGAGATTAGAAATTTCTGGAGTACTTGTGGAAAAA